AAACAAATCTTTATTATGACTTCAGACTACCACAATAATATTTTACTGTGGTGGTTTTCCTACTGACCAAAAAAGAAGCTAATACTCAGATGGGACAATGTCAATCTTTATCAACAATTGTTTCTATTAAGCACCTACTACATATACTTTCAGGTGCTGTACTATCAGTGCTGTGGATATAGGGGCAAAAAAAGTCAGTCCCTATATTCAAGGAGTTTACATTCTATCAGGAGAAAAAAAACCGTACATTTAAGTTGTGTATCTGTAACATAACATGTCTTTTTTCCATCCAAGTCCAACGACTCCCAAAATCCATCTATCCATGGACCCCAGAGTTTAAGAACTACTGATAACACTAAAAAATTCTAAAATGACGCACTAATTTAAGCCTCCTGAAAAAAAAAGTCTATTTCTTGTTAGAGTTTAGATCGGGGCTCAAAAAATATGCTTTGTCATCAAGGATCTTAATCCAAAATTTACAAAGCAGGTGAATTCTAAATACTATCATGTGGCACAGAAGTATCTCATCGCCTCAGGTCACCAAGGTTAGTTCAAGAAGCAATTGCACATTTCTTGCTAATATTAGGGAAATTTTGGATGAGCAAAAACCCTGGTCATCTCAGTTCAAGCAGGGAATACTCATCTGGAACAGAACCCAGAGTAAAACACAACCATGGCTGAGAAACCACCCAGGAAAAACTGGACCCCAAAATTGCCTATGAAGAATGGTGCTGTCAAGTGCTGCAACCACCTGCATTCAAATTATTATGTGCAAGCAGGAAGAACAAAGCACCATTTCTATAGTTGCTAGGCACCAGATCTATCTAGCATTTAGGGTCTGTAGAGAACGGGCTTTAACTACTCTGTAGTGTCTACAAACTGAAATTATCAGTCAAATCAGTTATACACAAAGGGAAACCAGTGGCACAGGCAATCTAAAAATTGTCCTTTTCACAGGAAACATAACTGATATAGCTGGGAATGTGTTTGACTACAAACAAATGGGAAAAAAAAGACCCAAATTACCAGGCATCAAGGAAATTAAATTGGATTAAAGTAAATTAAAGTGTACCAAAAGAGTTAATTCTCACATTAAAAGCTAATATGAAATAGTTGGAAAGTACCTTAAGTCATCTGGCCTAGCTCAAAGTCTCCAAGTAGAAAAATGCTTAAAGATATTTAAGACCAATTAAAAGGAGATCATAGCAGGTCTCTCCAGGGATGGCTACTAGGGACAAGAACAATTAAAAGACTAAACTATTTCTCCAAAGTTTGTCCCCAAGGCTCAAATAACTCAAACAGTATTTCAAAGGTTTAACAATTTTTGCTTAGGAAGTTGGAAACAACACAAAGTAACGTTCAAAAAGCACTCTTTATTATATCAGACTTCAGAATTCCTAAATAAGCTTTCCTGAGAGGGAAAAAGAAGTACATCTTAAGTTTAGTAAATAACACAATAAAATTCAAGCTTATAAACCTTATTCTATTGCAACTAAATGAATTTAATCTGGTTTTTAGTACCCGCTTATGGCCCAAATTAAGATGATTTCAACTTTTTTAGCTAGCGTGGTTTGTTTTTAAATTCAAGCTCATTAATGTATGTTTATCTCAAAAAGTAATAAGTCACAAGAGAGATGACTAGTTCTTACTCCCTTAGCACCCTGACTATTGGTATAGTTAGCTTCCTACTACTCTTGTCCCTCTAGAGACTGAGATGCAAAACATTAAATTTGATTTTAAAATGCTGGGTATTTCTCAAGTGTGTCTCCAAGAGCCTAGTGTTGTCTGAGATGTTCTAGCTATCTTCATTTTCTATATCTCTCAAGATCTAGACCACTTATGATTGCAACACTTGCACCTATTGAATGTCTTAAAATGGCCAAGAATGAATATTCCCTGTGGTCTGTCTATTGAAAAATAGAAGACAAAATTATTACCTTTTACAGACTAATAGCTTGTTATTTGAAAAATCATTCTCAACCCACAGAGTCAACTACTTGGCATACCTCTAAATCCACTTTTCTCCCAAAACCTGTTTTAGAAAAATTTACCTATCAATGTCATTAAGTACTTCCTTGTTTTGAAAGGGAAGATTTATATTTAAAAAGGACAATCTAATGTATTAATCCAGCAGTATTAAACCAGCCAATATTTAGTCTCAGTCAATGACCACAATTTCTCTGTACAGTAGAAGAGGGTGACCCCCAATTCTGTTAAGGCTATTTAACACTTAGGGTTAAGCACAGTGGCTCAGGGAAAAACAGAAGCATTTAAGAGAAAGTACCCCACCCCTCCCCCAGTCTTATGTCATTGCTTCTGTTCAAATTCTATAGAAACATTTGAATGTCTAGTTAGCTCACTTACACCTCCTACTTTCTGGTACAGCACTAATTAAAGATGACCCCTTTGCAAGTTAACAGAATAGCCAAATTACTCACTTCATATAGTTACAGGTGTGAAATAAACAATCATAGTTATCACACACGTTATTAGGTCTTTTTTGGAGGGGAAAGGGAAGGTCTGGATGGGAATACCTTCTTGGAAGCGTATCAATTTCAATAGTTAGCAGATATCAATAACTGAATGTAAGCAAGTAATCTGTATAAATCAGGCTGGATCACTAGCTCTTTCACACATACATAATTTCCTTTTCAGACCAAGGGCATGTTTATTTCAACCACCTCTCTCAAATACCCTCTTCCCCAACCCCAAGGACTCTGCAATCCAAGGCCCACACTGGTCAAATTGCATTGTGCTGGAAATAAATTATCTTCATTTAAAGGTCTCTTTATTAAAAGTTTAACTTGCATCAGTCTTAAAAAAACCAAAGTCTCTTAAGGTCTTCATTAGAGATAGCAAAATAGAGCTAAAAGTCCAAATTCACTCTTCTTAGTTAAGCCCTTGGGGGGGAGGGGGGAGGAGAAGGTAAGGGAATCGAGAGAAAAGGAGGGCACTTTTTTTAAGACCCAAGTTCAAAATAACTATAAAAAACTGACAGATATACACATTATGTGCAAATAAATACACATGTATTCCCATGTTTGTTTCCCATTCATCAGGGGCATTACACTTCACCCTCCAAGCCCTTAATGGTCCATGAGCAATTTCAGTCCTCAAGAGTTGAAAAGGGGAGGGACGCAACAAGCCTCAAACATACAATACATTAGAACTTGACATTTGTATCCTGCACCTGTTCTTCTACCCAGTTACCTGTTATTGGGGCAAGTACAGTTACCAAGTTGAATTGCCCTATCCAAATTCAATATAAAATACTCAGTATCTTGGTTTAGGCCACATTAGGCTGAAATGAACACTAGCTGGTCCATGCAGCTCGGTTCCCCACACCCACCTATGTTAGAGTGGAGGTTTCAGTTGGCAGAGACTCGTGTTTAAGATGTCACCTTGCCTCCTGGGCACACCCATCACAATAAGCCACTTGGCAGAAGGCAGCATAAAATGAGTATTGCAAATTACTGACCTCATTTTTATAGGAGAGAGATCTTTCAAGATCAACTCTCAGGTGTAAAAAGAATCCCTTAAAAATTTCACCCCACACATTATATTACAAGTATTTTTTATTCCCCAATACTGTTACAAGTGAATTGTACTGTGGCTATGCGGGCACGGCAGAAAGGTCCAGGATTTCTCCTGAAAGGCTGATAACACCAAATACTAATACCTACTGATTAAAAAAATAAAAAGACAAGGTAAAATATGTTTCTTTTTCTAAAGCATCCTTTCCACTTGGGACCGGTCTACATGCATCTCCCGAAAGGTAGTTAATGCACCAGAGACATTGGGCTAGAATGGGTTTCCCAGATCCATTTCTCGGGCTTTCTCATCAGTTACACCAAGAGCTTTCCTTATCACTCCCCATCCCGCCTTGGAAGGGGCGTCCAGTTCCTCCAAAGAGGAGAAAATGCCTGGCTGCGGGAGGGGGAAAGGAAACCCCGCCGGGATGGGGTGGAACCGCTGGGATTCGGCTCCGCTTCCCTCCGCCCGCCGCAGAGGGGGATGGGCCGCTGCGGAGGTCGGCCCCCTCCCCCGCCCATCCCATCCGGGGCTGGTCTCTTCCCAGCAGCCGGTGCGAAGCGCGGACAAGTCCGCAGTCCCGCAGGTGCCAGCGCAGCACTGGAGGCGCCGGGGTCCCGGCCTCCGGCGCAGCTCCCTCCCCCGTCCTCCTCCCCCACCGCCCCGCGGGCCCCAAATCTCCGCGAGGCACCTCACCCTCCACAGTGGTTTAAAAAAAAAAAAAGAGTAACAGAAAATTAAGAAAAAAAGAAGCCCCCGCCCGCGGCGGGGGGGGGCAGTGTTCCGCGCGCCCCTCCAGGCGCGGGGGTGGGATAAAAAAGGACAAAGCCGCTTCCGGGCGCCGGCACCAACTGTCCGTTTAGATTTGGAATCCTTGGGTCTCCAAGTGGCCCTCGAGGAAGCCGCTTCCCGCCCCTCCTTCCCCCCCGGCCCGGCCCGATTCCTTCATCTACTCCCTCAGCTCCGGCAGCGCCACCCCCCCAACACACACACCGCTTCCCTTTCATGGCAACCGAACCCCTGAAGGGACGACTCCCCGCTTCGGGTTCCTTCTCAAGTAGCCTCTAACCCACCCGAGGATACCTCCCTGAAGAAGGTGGGGGCGGGGGAAGGGACACCTGCGACACAACCGTTGCCGGGCCCCCTCGGTCCCCTCAGAGCCAACTCCCGGAAAAGGGCCTCTCCTTGTGAAGGGGAAGGAGAGGACTCTCTGGCATCCTGGCTTCGGTTTCTTCCCTGGAGGGTCCTGGTCCGAGCTGCCAAGAAGACGCACTTACCATGCTGTTAGCGTTACTAGTGCCCAAGTTCCTATCAAACAACCTCCACACTCGGTGGCTGCACTCGGACTAATTCTCCTCTGCCGCCCCCAGCGCCTCATAAACACCTCCCTCCGTCCGAATCCATCCGCTCCATGCCAGATAACGGAACGTTGCGAACGAACTCGAGCCAGTCCCCTCCCCCCACGGCGTTCTCGAGACCCTTTCGTCCCTAGATATTGGGCCAATGGGTGCAACGGTGACAAGTAAAGGGTTGAAGGGCATGATCTAAGCAGGTGCTAACCCTCTGGAGGCCGTTAGAAGAAGAGGGGAGCGTCGCCTCGGGGCGCTATTTTGCGGCGCGGAGGAGCACCGAGGTAGAATGAAAAGAAGTGCTGACGCGCCCGGAAGGCCTCTGATTGGTCAGTTTGTACCTGCAATGCGTCACTCGGAAATGCACCCGCCGGGCTGGGGCTCGGCGCTGCTGCCGTTGCCGTTGCCTCACGGGCCGGGCTAGCTTGGCCGCGGCTGGAGGGAGGAGGGCGCACCGCACGCTAAAGCGTTTCTCAGGGAACCCCCCCCCCATACATACCCCGCCCCTCCCTTACACACACCCTTCCGCTTACGGTACTACAGAGTGCGAAGGCTGGAGGGTGGGGTGGGGGACCAAGCCCGAGGCTGAGAGACGCCCCACCCCCCGCTGCGATCGCGTAGGCAGCGCCCCCTCCCAGCCGGTCCCTGCGTCCATGGCGGCCGCCTCCCCCAGTCACCTTCACTGGCCCAAGGAGACCTTCTTCGAGCGTCGCGGGGAGGGCCGAGAGTGGCGGCCGAGCCCCTTGGGCTTTCCCCTTCACCTTCTTCGCCCTGCGGAGCCTCAGCCAGGACAGAGGAGTGCCCAGGCCGATGGGGCCCCGAGATCCTTGCAGGGTCCGAGTCGCCTCCTGCCCCCCACCGAGGCCCCCCCTCCTCCCGGCTAAAGAGAGTGCCCCAGGACCCAGAATAACACTTGCTTTCACAGAAAAGCAGAAGATAATTTAAAAAAAATATTTCTATATAGAATGAGAAGCTAGCTAATAACCGTTTTCGAGGCACAGCCCCTTTTAAGTGATCCCCACTGATCCCTGTGCAATCTCCTTGGATGAGATCACTAACTGATCCATCTCAAGTGTAATAATCTCAAAAGAATCTCTCTGAAGAATTCTGCAGAGGTGCTGCTGTACCCAGAGGTTGCATCACCGATTAATCTCTTTTCCCTCTTAAATTGACTGCACTTAAAAAAATAATGCTCCAGTCAGACCACTGATAACCCTTTGCCTAGAAAGAACTACCTTAAACAGTATTAGGGCTAACAGGCATATGCATCCTTGTAATCCAGAACTTTCCTCTTAAGGAGAATTCAGCCATGCCAAAACCCAGCTTTCTGTAAATTCCCTAAGTACTCCAGAAGGCCTAAGCAAGATTTCTGTTAAATTGAACATTTTCTCATAGAATCAGAAGTATTCCTCTTCTGATAGCCTAGAAAGCCTTTCTCACTGGACTCCTGAAAACCAGTGAATACTGTCTTCTAAAGTTAAATATGTCATGTTAATAACTTACACAAGAAAAATGTAGGCTCAGTATGAGCATCATTTCTGAGCTGGGGAGGGATATTTTCAACATCACAAATATGTTGTTGTCCCATGTATATTGCTTAAGTTTTTGCTGGATTCAGAATCATCATGAGACAATATGTAGTAGGCTTCCCTTACATATAGTTCCACAGAATTTTGCCTTTGACTCTTTGGGAAAAGAGTCACTCAGTTTCTGCGACACCAAAAATCCTCTTTCTTCTTTCTCTCTTCCCTTCTACCTCAGAATATTTCTACAAACAATACTGTTTATGAGTGAAGTTGAATGATTAAATGAATAATCATTTTCACTAGAAAGCCTGCTGAAAATGAAAGCGTCTAAAATATATACAGCTATATGCATAAATCTAATCTGAAGGCCCTAGATTTTACTGAAGGAGGGACTTTTAAATAGACAGGTACTTGAAGCTGAGAATTTTCCCTTTTCCTCAAGTTACAGACATAGCAGGGATTGGGAAGAAAGAAAGGACTTGATGTGACAGCTGCCTAATAATTATTTGTGTCTGGTAATAGAGCACTGGATTAGGGGGTAGGGGTGTGTCAGAAAGACTTGTGTTCAAGTCTCTCATCAGGCACACTTAAAGGAGGATAGATTGAGAGCTGGAAGAAATTGTAGAGGTCATCTAGTCCTGTCATTTCACAGAGGTCGAAATTGAGGCCTAACTTGACCCTAGGAATGTCATAGCCTCTCTGAGTTTCAGTTTCTTCATTTGTAAAATGGAGATAATAATAGCACCTACCTCACAGAGTTTTTATGAAGATTGAATGAGATAATGTATGTAAAGTCCTTTGCAAAACTTAAAGCTCTACATAAATGCAAACTGTTATTGAATTTAATTGAATCTTTTGTTAAATTATAGAAAGCCATTTCCTCCAGAAGCTTGCTGTCTTCTCCAAGAAGAGAAGGAAAATAAGAAAATACTTACTTTTAAAGCCATTATGGTTTGTGTGTATTTGAGAATTTTCCAAGGCAATTTATTTATAGAGCATTTGGCTTCCAAAAACTTTGTGTACAGTACAGTTTGACTCTCAGCAGCTAACATATGGAAAGTGAAGCCCAGCCAATGACCAGCAAACTAGGACCTTCTCGTTAGTTATTAGTGTTCTTTCCCTTTCCAATCATGCTTATTAGTTTACTTCTATCTCCCCAGTAGAATGCAAGCTCTTTGAGAGAAGAAACTATCTTTTTTTTTTTAAGGCAATTGGGGTTAAGTTACTTGACCAGGGTCACACAGTAAGTGTGTCAAGTGTTTGGTCTCAGGTCGGATTTGAACTCAGGTCCTCCTGACTTCAGGGCCAGTGCTCTATCTACTGCCCCATCTAGCTGCCCCAAGAAGAAACTATGTTTTGCTTTATCCTTGCATCCTGCATGCCCAGCACATAAAAAGTACTTAATAAATGCTTGTTGGATTGGATCTGATGGATGGTTACCTTTATATTTCCAACACAACCACCTGAATTTGAGTTTTGTATGATCATATTGATGAGTCTCTCCTTAGTTTCACAGTATCCGTAAAAGAAAGCTGTTCTATCTGGCAAATTTGTGCCAATATTTGAAGTTACAAGTTTTAAAACTTTCCTTTGGGGACTAGTTGCTATCAGCATGGCATTGAAGAAATCACAGGGGTTGGGAATCAAGAAACCTGGGTTTCAGTTCCAGCCCCTTCTCCTAAGTGAGCTTAAGCCATTTAATTTCCTCTCTAATATGGGGATAACAGCTGTCCTACAAAGGCTTTTATGACACCATAGAGAGCTATCACTCTCATGTAGGGAGGGCTTAAGTTGCCTTCCATACCTCCCTTTGCATATTCATGTTTGCTGTGCCAACCGTCAGTTCAAAAGTATTTATGAAGTGCCCACCATATTCAACTTGTCCTGCTGCATGTGTAGTGGGGTGGGGAGAGCAGAGCAGTCCAGGATGGTTGGTAGAACCCTCCCTACCAGTAAATGTCAATTCAGGCTCTTACTTCTTTTATTTTACTGTTGTGGACAGAGCACTGCTTAGGTGCTGACAATGATAAAAAGTTTAGCTAAGATATTCTTTAGAGGAATACCAACAAGGCACCAGGGGTTTGTGGTTAGAATGCTTCAGTGAGTTCCAGTTTGGCCACAGACGCTTCTTAGCTGATATCAAAGCTCAGTTTCTTCATCCATGAATTGGGGTTCATAATTTGCCCTGCCTGCCCCTCAGGGCTGTGAGGAAAGTGCTTTGCAAACCTTAAAGTACTAAACAAATTAAATTATTAAGAATGTGTGATTATAGTCATTTAACCTCTTGCCCAACTCCTTTTCCAGTCACATATATCCTTAATAATAGTTTTTATACTGCATTTCCTATGCAAATTGTACCTTATTAACAGGCACTAATAAGTCAGAAAACATTTTGAAAAAACCATAAGCTGAATACAAATCAGAATGTCACCATTATTTACACACAGATATTGTATTGTGTTCAGATTGTAAGTCCTAGTAGACAAAAGGTAATGTCATTTCATAAGGTGTCTTGTACATTTAATAAATACTTGACTGACATCATTAATATGACCTATTTAGCAAATTTTAAGATTTGTTAATCAGTGGAAGTACACAGCAAAAGAAGCCAAATATTATTTCCTCCCACATATATTATTGCTTAAACAATGTGAACATATTCAAAATCACGGAATATTTGACCTGAAGTATTCCTGGAGATCATTAGTCTAGGTCACTCAGATAAAGAAATTGAGAGATGAATTTATCATATGTCACAAAGCTAGGACTAGAACTCGGGTCTCCTGATTCTAAACCAAGTTCTGTGTTAATTATGTGCTTAATTGAATAAAAGATTTGTCCTCATCTTCCTGTTTTTCACATTATACAGTGATTATGGTTTTGATGTGATTTTTTTTCTCTGTTGTCAGTGGGCATAATGACAATTTTAAGCGAATGATTGAGGAAGTTATCCATATAGTTCAAGTAAAAATTCCATTTCAATTTCCTGGATATTTCATGCAAAATAACTATTTTGGACTTTTAAAAAACCCAATAATTGCTGAAGTTCTCTCTTTAGTTGTGCCATCAGAAACTGGTTCAGAAGTTAAAGATCTAAATAAATATTCCTGAGCCTTTAGGGATAATGTGTTTCTGAAATTCTTCCTTTTACCCTACTACTTCCTAAAATCTCTAGCTCTGGTTACCATCTCAAGTTCCCCAGGTCATAGAGATTTTAAAATACTTTCCATTGTTCATTTGAGGACTTAAAATACATGAAGCTGGGATGAGCAGCCCATCCTCTTCTACCACCACTTTATTATTTGGAATACATAGCTTATAAGAACATTGGCTTTTTGTTGTTGTCCATCATTTGTGTCTGACTCTTTGGGACCCCATTTGGGGTTTTCTTGTCAAAGATTCTGGAGTGGTTTGCTATCTCATTCTCCAGCTCATTTTACAGAGGAGGGAACTGAGGCAAACAGGATGAAGTGACTTGCCCAGGGTCGCACAGCTAGTAAGTGTCTGAGGCTAGATTTGAACTCAGGAAGGCTCATCTTCCTGACTCCAGGCCCAGCACTCTATGCACTGTGGCGCCACCTAGCTGCCCCTAAGAGCTTTACAGATAATCATCTCATTTGATCATCACAACTATTGGAGGTAGGTGTTGTTATCATTCCCATTTTACAGTTGAGGAAACTGGGCAGACAGAGATTAAGTGACTTGCCCAGGGTCACACAGCTGGTAAGCATAAGAGGCTGGATTCGAATTCAGGTCTTCCTGACTCCAGGCTTAACTCTGACCACTGTGTCACCTATTTACCA